GAAATCATATGATACTAAGTGAAAATGTTATCTTTTATGTTAATAATAAAGCTATTCTATTTTTACTTAGCAACTATTATTACAAACAAAAATAAAAAATATTTGATAAATATTTTACTACTATATTTATCTTTTAAAACTAAATTTTAATTATTTTGTTGTGGTGGATCTTTTATATCTAGCCTCTAATGGTTAAGACAGATGCAAGTGATATTGCTATTGAAGCCATCTTGCTTCAAGTCGGGCATCCTCTTACATATATGAGCCATAAGTTTGATGCTATACAGTGGAATTGGCCTACTCAAGATAAAGAGTTATATATTGTGATCATTACTGTGAAGGAATGGTGACATTATTTGAACTTTCATATGAATTCAAGTCATCAATCTCTCTAGTGTTTCAGTCAATAAAAGGATTTTTGAGGGTGCCTTGCTCATTAGCAAGAGTTCCTACAAAAAGTGTCTATTAACATCTGGTACAAGAATAGAAGTGATAATAAGATGGCTAATGCATTCTCCTAGATGGTAAATTCTATCTTGTTTGTGAAGCTATTCAGCAATCTCTTATATGAGCTTAAGGAGTTTTTTTAATTTAACCATTTTATCACTGATATTTGTGTGAAGGTTTTATTAAGGGATGCCTCTACAGATTTTGAAGGGTGACAAATTTGCATCATTCGAAATATAAAATGGAATCCTAGTGAAGAAGGGATTTATAATGGTTCCTCGTGTGAATAAACTTATCAAACAGATTTTGGTTGAGTGTTATGATATGTTAAGTGCTAAGCATCTGAGAGTACTGAGAATGTATAGTTGGTGAAGAGGCCATTTATCAAAGGCTGTTGTACGTGGTTGGGTCATAAGGAAAATGACACCAAGAATATTCCGTAGTCAGTGGGATTTAAAGTCATAACACCTTAAAGGTTGGGAGGTTGGCCTAGGATTCTCTCTTTTGTTCGTTTCACCACTGCAGGCTGCTTTTTATGCCCAAGCACTAGTCCTATAAAATGTTGATAAGATTTTCAAGCTTCTTAAGAGGTGATATCTCTTCATCCATACTAGTAACCAAAAGTCACAAAAAATGTTGGATTTATAGTGATTTTTTTGACAATACATAATTTTAAACAATTTTAAGTCTCAATATGAAAGAATATTAAACACATTCTTTCACTTTGATGTTTCCAATCAAAACAAAGACAATGTTGGAAAATTTGTCACGTCCAGTGTGTTTTTGGGGGAAGATATATGAAATCATAGTTTCCAAATCCACAACAAAAGGGTGAAGCTTTGGGCAAGCTTGTTTGGACTAGAAACACCTCAAGCTTCCAATAATGTGCTTTTCATATTCTTCCTGCTTAGCTATGGCAACTTTTGTTAACAATTTCCATTCATTTGGATCTGGATAAAATATCCTCTTGAAACAAAAATCAGATGTTTTTGGTGTCACTCTTCCCACCAAGACATAAGCCAGAGCCAGGAATACCATACCACAAAAAACTTACTTCCAGGCCATCTGGTAAGTCGTGTGGAACCGAGGATGAGGCATTGGCATCGTCAGAATTACTGAAGATCCACTCTGCTGCATGCTCTGTGCGACCACCCTTTCTTCACAATGACCTCAAGCATCATTCGCCCTCATAATAGAAGTCCCTAGGATAACTCCTTATCTCCTTTTGTTCTGAAATTCTCCATTCATGACCCACTGTCTGAAAACAATAGAATGGACAGGTGCGCCACCGCTTCAAGTCAGGGGTATACATCACAGCGTTATCCCAGAAACACTTGTTGATAACAATAATTGCATAACTTTCCCTCTCAGAGCATAGCTCTATTCCAGAGCTTAAAATCCCGTCATTTATCTGAGAATCAGTGGTGAAAAGCATTTTGTCAATGGCAGGCCATTGCTTGAGCACAGGATTACCAACATAGAGCTTTGTTCTAGAACGTAAGAACACCATCCCTTGGTTAGTACCCAAAACTTGGTCCTTGAAATCTGGGAACGGGTCATCTAAGAAGGGACCTGAGAGTGGACACCAAGCTTTGAGAGCGTTGTTAACATACGTGAGAATCCAAACCCCCGAATCCATTGTAGCTCAACTAAGAGTTGAGATTATAAAATCTATAGAATTTACAATTCTTTTCATATCAACATCATTTGTGCTTAGATTTGAAGTTTGGTGATTGAACGATATCTCTCCAAGTCTTACACACACTGCTTGCACACACTGCACTAGATGCGATATAATCTCCCACAAGATGCTCACTGGAGGCCATAAAGAAAAAATATTGTGGTAAATTAGAACACAAGTTTATGAGGTTTAGTATAACATTTAACAGATTGATCCTCTAGAAATTGTGCATGTCCAACAGCTAAAGTGCTTCATATAAGTTAAACTTTGGAACAAATTTGAAAATTTATTAAATATGAAATGGTGCTAAAATTGTAATCATATCTATATTTCATAAATATGCCTCTCTTGCATATATAAACACTTACCATAAATAGCATATAGGACCAAAACAATACTAACATATAAAGCATGATAGTGAGGGTGTCTTTATAAATACAGTAATGTATCATATAGCAATATTAAGGACTGGACTCAATATATAACATATATAAGTCAAAGATATATAGCAAAAGAGAATTAAAAGTCAAACCAAGTATGCTCAATAGAAAACAACACATATGAATTATTACTTTATATTTATCTAGCTAAGTACATATGCTAAACCCAATTAACTACCATTTGGACAAAAGGGGCTAATAAAGGAACTAACAGTATCCATTGTGGTAGTAAAGAGAGGGTGTTAACCTGATAAGTACATTTTTAGAAAAAAATAAAGTTTTCTTGGATTGAGAGGATTAAGATTAGATACTAGTAGTTTACATAAGTATGATTAAAATTATTACAAATATTGCTACTAAAACCTAACTCCTTTTGCTACAAGTTTTCAATGGGATCCAGCATAATCTGTGGCATCCTGGATCACAATACTACAGAATAATCTGGACAGAGAAACTCTTGAAGCTTATCACGAGGTGGCGCAAGTCCATTCTGTCCAGAAGCTACAGTGGTGTGATCGCTGCAAGCTTGCGAGAGGATGGAGGCAAAGATCATCACAGCCTACGCTCACCATGGCTATGGCATCGAGATGCTGTGGAGCCGAAGTTCCTGTGCATCACGGGGATAGACGAGGCTATGGAGCTGGATCGACAGGACAGTGCTCCACACGTGCTACTCTCTCAGGGTGTCACATCATCCAAAGTAAAAAGTGAGGGCAGATCTCTCGATCCCAGCATGCGGGTTGTGCGCACCAACAAACTCGATCCTCAGACGAGCCACACCAACCATACGGGTAGCTTTCTAAGCCCATCTTCAGTTCTTGCCCTAATTTCTCCATCTCCACCATCTTCATCCTGCGTGGTACCATAGGTGGAAGTGAGGATGGGAGTGATGTTGAGCCTCCATCCATGGATTTAGTTTGGGAGACATGGGATTGGGGTAGCGAAGAGCCATGGTTGGAGTCTCCCACAGAAAACACACCAAGGTCTCAAGTGCAAACACCATCTCCATGGCCAGCTCCACTTTCGACATAGTGTCCAGCACCATCTCTGGCACCTGCTCCAGCACTGCATTCGGCACCAGCTCCGGCACTAGTTGTGGCACTGCGTCGAACATTAGCTCTTACACCAGCTCCAGGACAACCAGTGTTGGAGGTATTTCCCATCCCACTCTTGCCGAATATGAACAATCGAGCAACGAACTTGACGGGATTCTCTCGAAAGTGAGAGCTCACGACGTGGTCTCCTGGGCGGCCTTGATCGTGGCCTACACTCAGCACAGGAGGAATCAAGCAGCCGGACAAGGTGACTCTTAGCAGCGTTCTGACTCATCAACAAGCTTGTGCTGGATCCATCTCTCGTCATGCCGACTTTCCCAAACTTGCCGTACATGGTCGCAGAGGCCACGGACACATTGGCTTCCAGGTGAGAGCCTCGAATGCGCTTCTTTCCCACCTCTCGAAAAGCTCCAGCGCTCGGCCCTCGCAACGTCCAGCCTGCACGTACATGCTCACAAGCGCGTTCTCCGGCCTTCTTCCAGATCCCTCAAGCTGGAGCAAGCGCCAAGGACGCTGGAGAGAGTAGCGATGTCGGGCTTGATCCCCGCCGAGTCCATGCTCCTAAACATCTCGATCGCCTTGCAGCCAACGCCATCCAGGTCTTCCACGCCCTCCCGCGAAGAAGCCTCTTCTCCTGGAACTTCATCATCGCGGCATTCGCCAAGAACAGGCACGTCGACGCTGAGGAGGTGATTGCCGAGGAATCCATCGATGGCGACAATGTGGGCGTGGATTCGCCGGTAGGTCTGCCGCATTAGGAGCGCGGCGTAGGTCTGACGCACCTGGAAGGGCGACTGGAATTGATCGTCGTCGAGGGTTTATAGTGGATATGCTAGGAATATGCTAGTGAAAGTCTTTTATACTTCTTTGATTTGATTTTTTGTATCTTTTGGTACGCTGTAAGAATTCATTGGGATGATCAGTCACACAGGAACCAGCCAGCCACATCCTTCTCCCACTCTCCAATGCATCTAGAATGAAAATCACCAAAGCTTTTGGCTATGGCTCATCTTCTTGATTTACATTCTCTGTGGGCATTCCTTGACTAATTTTGTTTAGTCATATTAATGCAACCGAATTGAGGAATCACAACTATTACATTAAGGAATATCGTAGTTGGATATTCTAAGTATATAACTTCAAATGCTGAAACTATTGGAACGTACACGGAAGGGCATGTTGAATGTTGAATATTGAATGTTGAAATGTTGAATGTTTTCACGGGCTTTTACGTGTTTTCCATGCTTCCAATCCCGAACCTCTCAAACGTAAACCCTTACATGCATATCGTATGGGGCCCGTCATCTTTACAGGGTCGGCCCGAAGCTAAAACTTTCAGTATATAAGCTCACTCGTGCAGCTGCGAAGCAATCATCCATGGCGAGCAACATGATAGCTTTGATCTTGATCTTGCTGGTGGTGGTAGGGGCAGCACCGTTTGCGATTGCGCGGCCAGCGGCTCTGGAAGGCGATCGCGCTCTAGAGATCAAGAACATGTTCGAGGGTTGGGCTGCCAAGCACGGCAAGAGTTACAGCAGCGACTGGGAGAAGGCTCGCAGGCTGATGATCTTCTCCGACACTTTGGCGTACATCGAGAAGCACAACGCGCTGCCCAACACCACCTTCACGCTCGGCCTCAACAAGTTCTCGGATCTCACAAATGCCGAGTTCCGAGCCAATTACGTCGGCAAATTCAAGCCCCCGCGCTACCAGGATCGCCGCCCGGCCAAGGACGTGGACGTGGACGTGTCGAGCCTCCCGACGAGCTTGGATTGGAGGCAGGAGGGAGCTGTGACACCGATTAAAGATCAGGGCCAGTGCGGTATGATAAGAACTCGTCGTTTTTTTTGTTTTTTTTTTCTAATCTCTCTTCTATTTGGCCTTTGTGGGTGTGGGTGATTCGCATGATCCACAGGGAGCTGCTGGGCTTTCTCGGCGATTGCATCGATCGAGAGTGCACACTTTCTGGCGACGAAGGAGCTCGTTTCTCTGTCCGAGCAGCAATTGATAGACTGTGACACGGTAGACCAAGGATGCCAGGGTGGGTTTCCGGAGGATGCGTTTAAGTTCGTGGTGGAAAACGGTGGTGTCACCACGGAGGAGGCCTATCCATATACGGGATTTGCAGGCAGTTGCAACGCGAACAAGGTTGGTATACTTCACTAATTATTTCATATTATAGCTGTTTTTTGTTCTTTAAAGAATAAGGTGGTGGAGATCACTGGTTATAAAGACGTCACAAAGGACAGTGCTGACGCCCTGATGAAAGCAGTCTCCAAAACTCCCGTGACCGTTGGCATCTGCGGCAGCGACCAAAACTTCCAGAATTACAGAAGTGTAAGAAAATCTCAAATATTATTTCTATTTATTTCTAACTTAATTACATCGTTTTCCAGGGAATTCTTTCTGGTCACTGCAGCAATTCGCGGGATCATGCGGTCTTGGTCATTGGATATGGAACCGAAGGTGGGATGCCCTACTGGATCATCAAAAACTCGTGGGGAACTTCCTGGGGGGAGGATGGATTCATGAGAATCAAGAAAGAGGATGGAGAAGGGATGTGTGGGATGAACGGACAGTCATCATACCCCACTACTTCGTAAAATAACCACTTTATAATCCAAACTTTATATTAATATATCAATTATACACTGCCATCACAATACATTAGCAACTAGTGAAATTTGCTCTTTTGACTATGATATGCAGTAGATCCAGAGCTAGGTATAGCCACAGCATCACGATCTAGGGAGAGCTGCAGGCTTGCAGCAGCAAACAGTCATGATTGAGAGTTACAGTGGATACACCTACAGGCAAACCAAAGTACAAGTATCTTTTTATCACTATATATTGGTCATTACATTCATGTGGACTTACGCATATAAAAACCTAAAAAAATTTAAAATATGAGAGAGCTGAAGATGCCAAAACACTTCAAAGTTTTCTAAATGGAATTTGAAGAAAATATTTTAGGGGGGTGTGATATGTATTTGAGAAGAAAATCACAAATATATTACAAGATTCTTCAATAAGTAGTTCAAAAGTTTAATTGCAGTATCTTGTTTTGAAATATTCTGTTTATTAAATAGTTTACTGATGCAGTAATGCTTGGTTTGCTTAACAATAGTGCTTACTGTTTAATAATCTAACTGTAAATTTTAAATACAAGATTAATCTTATTATTTATCAACCATTAGATGTTAAAATAAATGAAACATACTTGGAAGTAATTAGTAATGTTTATAAATTATAAACATATTTATAAATTATAAATTCAATATTAATCTAAATGAATAAATTAATTTGAAAATATAATAAAATACACTTGAAAGCTCTGTAGCAAAGTCAGGCTTATGAGATCCAAATGTACAGCTAGAATATAATATCTGTATAGTGGGACTTTGATAGCTGTTTGATTCACTCTTATATATAAGTTAGGGTTTTTGGGTTAATATTATATTTATATATATATATATATATATATATATATATATATATATTCCATGCACTCATATTGGTGGAGTTGAAGGGCAACTTTAATTATTTTTGCCAAAGTAATAGCCTCCTCATTTTTTGACTATAAAGTAGCAAATGCTTAATATGACATGATTTCCATTAAAAAATTAGACACAGTTGATGGGAGTATTTATTATATGGCTCTTCCTACTTTTGTTACTAATCCTCACATTAGGCTAGAGTTCTTCCTTGGTATAATATAAATTATTAGTTTGATCACTTTACAATGATTGCCATTTATTATTCTTGGGATGATGTATAGTGTTTATGTGAGTTTCCCACATATCTTTAATGGACAACATTGTAGTGGTACAATAGTTTATAAGTAACCACTAATGCAGATTAAAACTTTTTTCTAGATGTCTTTAAGTACACATTTTGGACATTCATTTGGCTTTTGCTTTGGCCACTACCATATAGCACCCTTTTGGCTCTACTTTGGGGTTTAGGGATTTGTGTCTTACAACTCCATCACCTATACACGAAGTTTGATGTTTTCATTAAACGATAAACCATTTTATAAAGTAACACTAGCATATATTACCTTTTCTATCCTTAGCACTAAACCAATGTTCATTAATTGTTTGAAACCAAAGGCTCACCATGCCTTTCCTATCGTCTAAGGAGTATAATATCTCAAACTTAGAGATTCATTAGGCCACTTATGGGAGTCCTTCCCCTTTCCTTTGTTTAGTTTATGCTAAACTCATTATAGACACCTAATTTGAGTACTCATGTTAATGATTCTAATAATACTTTTTAGCAACTGCATATTCTCTATCTAAGGCTGTTTGAGTCAATTATGCAATTTAGTATTTGCTTTCAAAGCCTTTAACTTCATGTGAAACAAATATGTCAGAGTGGATTAAGTTGGGAATATTATGGTTAATGCTTTATCAAGATTTCGTGAGATTTGTGTATACACTTGCCCCAACCACCTTTGACAATACTCTTCAATTGACATAATATTATGAGATATCACCTCTTTTATTTATCATTACACATACGTCATTTCCACTCCATGTGGGAGATGATCTTATTCCAATGGAGGTTGACATTACTTCTGCCCGTATTCAAGGACAAGTGTAAAGACGTGGTTGTGGCTATGGTCGTGATGTTCACTACTAAACATATGATGAAATTAGCCATAAGTATTAGTGTTGTTGGCATTTTCTAGATTGGCATCTTTTATTTTTTAGGTGGAAGTTTAGCGCAAATAACATTCTGTTGGCACTACTACAATAACACATAGACTCTTCTAGAATGCATGTGTAGTGGATGGTCCTTGTGTGAATAAATAAATGACCACTCTATCTTTTTAAAATAAGAGGTCCTTTATTATCCTCTCTATATTAGTTAATATAGGCTTGAATTTATCTTCTATCATTAGGCACATTATCATCTATAATTATATCATGCACTTGAGTTAGTCTTCTTTTTCTATGGCAACAGCTATACACATGCACATGCACAGGATGAAGCAAACCTAGTTGTGCATATGTTTGAGTTTCAATTATCACAGATGGTGTTGAGTCAATCTTTTGACATCATCTTGGTATAAATTAATTGTAACACAATCATACCATTCCTCTCACTTCTATTCTATTTCATCCCTTTACTTTTATATTTGCTTTTATGACTTTTGTCTTTTTATTTATTTCTATTATGTTTTGTTTTTGCTATTTTATTCCCTCTTCAAATCCCTTAGATAGTGACAATCTTTGTGTTATAGCAATTGATTAGCTCAAGAAAGAGTATGTTAATTTCTTTGATTTTGACTTGTCATCTGTAGCCAAGATTGCAATACATAATCCTACTCCAACTAGGGATGCTTGTTCAATCAAAGTTTTTATTCGGTGTCTATCACTAAATAAAATAAAAAATTTTATACATAAATGTCAAGAAGATGTTAGAGAAAGGTGTTATCTAGAATTTTCAAAGTCCTTAGGTATATAAATCTCATTTTGTAATGAAGTATAATGGGAGTATTTTGTTTTAAAGTTCCCTATTATGATAGGTTATCTAAAATTCCTTACTCTAAAATATGTGAATGATATATAGTACTTCCTAGGCAATGTGCAATATTTCAGTCATTTTGTTGATCAATTTTTTAATTATATTGCACTATTGTGAGCATTGCTAAAGTCATTAACATCATCTTTTATTTGGCTTTGAACTATGAATGGGCATTTGCATATCTCAAAAAGTTGTTAATGACTTTTGCATGAAGTTTGGCATTATTGTAGTATATCAATTGGCTACTGCAAGGATATAAGTATGCTAATTGGTATTTAGATTAGGCTTAGACCTAGATTAGATGCAAAACAAAGGCAAATATGCAAGCAAGAGCTAAATTATACCTTAAGTTGATCAACTATGCCTAACCTACTTATTATCCCTACTATCCCGACTACAAAAATAATCACTCTACTCCTCCCACCTTTTGCCACTAGAGTGTGTTAGTTATGTGGCTTTGAGTGAGGTTTTGATGAGTCATACAAAGTATTTAAGTAGGTAATACTATTGTAATGCACCCTATCTCTCTCCCCTTAAGCCCACTGGAAAAGAGGCAATTACTTAATAAGAAAGTCTAAATCATCATCCCCTTTAGAGATGTCAATTTCCTCATTGATTATTGACTAATAATCCTTATTGAGCCGAAGGGAACTAACATCTCTATTCCCCCAATCTAATAATCTTTCCATTATATAAATTAGTTATTCTATGTGAGGCATCTAATCATCCACTTGTACTATATCTCACAACCTCTATTAAACCAAAGGGAACTAACACCTCTACTTTCATAATCTACCAATTCTTCTATTGTATAGACTAGCTATTCCATGTGAGGCAACCAATTATCTATTTATATTGCATCCCACAAATGGATATCTTCATTCATGGATGCTCTATATGAGGAAAGATATATACATGGATGCTCAATATATACAATTCCAAATTTAGGGGTAGGAATATACCTTGCTTATGAGTGCTTTGGATAATTTTGTGGCTGCAAACATAGTCTAGCAAGCTAGACTAACAGTGCAACCACTGGGAGAACCAAGGACTATAAAGTTTATTCACTATAAGTGTATGAATGATATGCAATAGTTCTTGAGAAATGTGCAATAACTTGGTTATTTATTGATCATATTTTTAATCATACTGCACTATTCTTACTATTGCTAAAGTCATCAACGCTATCTTTCATTTAGTCTAATGACTTTAAATAGGCATTTCTGCATCACAAAAGAGTTATTAATGACTCCTTTAGTTTTGATATATTTTAATTTTATGGATGTTTTTATTTTAGTTTCAAAATTGTATTAGCCCAAGTGTGTTTGGATCTTAAGGGATGATTGTGAAGGACATAAACTTTCAACATTCAAATTAAGATAGTTATTTACCATCTTTTCAATATATATATATCACAGAAGTATAGAGTTTTATTAGTGTCTCACCATAAAAACTGTTATATGGTCATAATACGATACTATTAATAGAGTTAAGTTTACCTTTGCGATTTTACAAGCTACCAATGCTAGGTCTTAAGATTTGTATTTAATGAGCATTCATCCACTACTTTGAGTAAAATTGTTGAATACTTAAGCCATGTATACATGGACAACAACGACATTACAACTCACATCATCATCTATTTACAAAGTATAAAGTGGATAATCTAATGTTAATTCATTTTCCCAGTATGTGGTTTGTCTAAAGGGCTTCTTATTTAGTGGAACAGACCGTATTAAATATCATGGTAAATTGGACCACAAGTTTATAAGGTTTAGTATAACATTCAACAGGTTGAGCCTCTAGAAATTGTGCATGTGCAATAGCTAAAGTGCTTCATATAGATTAGTCTTTGGAGCAAATTTGAAAATTTATTAAATATGAAATGGTGCTAAAATTGTGATCATGGTATTTAAGACACTCTCTATATTTCATAAATATGCCTCTCTTGCATATATAAACACTTACCATAAATAGCATATAGGACCAAAACAATACTAACATATAAAGCATGATAGTGAGGGTGTCTTTATAAATACAGTAATGTATCATATAGCAATATTAAGGACTGGACTCAATATATAACATATATAAGTCAAAGATATATAGCAAAAGAGAATTAAAAGT